TATATATATATATGTGCATGGGTGTGTAATATATGTAACTTTAACTATAAATTTTTTATAACTAGGTATCAAAAAGTCGCAGTTAAATGGCTCTGGGAATTACATAGCCGTAAATTAGGCGGTCTGTTGGGTGACGAGATGGGATTAGGAAAAACTGTGGAGATTATTGCATTTCTCGCGGGTTTGGATTGTAGTGAATTGCTCTCTTACCATGGAAGGTGTACATTTTTGTATTTCTTAATTAATGTAGAATTTATATGTATACAAAATATCTGCTTTTTTTTTTCTTAAGAAAAATATGTACTTATATATATAATTTTATTCTTTATTGTTATATTTATGTTATAAATGTATTGATACACTTGAAAAAAAAATTCTCTTTACAATTAACAGATACAGAGGATTAGGCCCGACTATAGTTGTATGTCCTGCTACTTTAATGGAACAATGGGTGAAGCATTTTCACGAATGGTGGCCTTTCTTCAGAGTTGTTGTGCTTCACCATTCTGGTGGCTATAATGGTAAGTAAATAGTTTATGTTTCTCAAGATATCAGCCACAAATGATATTCGCAAAATTCGCAATATTCTCATTCAGGTGATCCAGAAAGTTTGATAGAATCTCTACAAACTGGCGGAATACTTATTACTTCTTACAACGGAGTCCTCAAACACAAAGATTTGCTTGTGTCTAGTCAATGGCATTATGTTATTCTGGACGAAGGCCATAAGATTCGTAACCCACAAGCAAAGGTAATTATTTATTAAAAATTGGATGGAATTATTTCATTTACATTTATATATTACTATAAATTTCCTTATTTAATAAACTTCGTAATTGATATAATAAATGTCTATTACAAAATACTTCCAAATATTATTTCTCATATTAATTAAATTATATTATTTTATAGGTAAGCCGAGCGGTGAAGCGATTCTCCACTCTGCATCGATTGCTATTGACTGGTAGTCCAATGCAGAATTCTCTAAAAGAACTGTGGTCCTTGTTTGATTTCATTCTACCTGGCAAATTGGGCACGCTATCTGTATTTCTAGAACATTGCGCAATGCCCATAACACGCGGTGGTTACACAAATGCCACGCCGTTACAAAAAGCAACGGCTCTCCAAATAGCCACTATGCTGAAAAACACTATTACACCATACATGCTTCGAAGAACAAAGACTGATGTGAAGCATCATCTCACTCTACCGGAGAAAAACGAACAGGTTCATCTTGTTTTTTTACATAGATATGTCTCTATTGCAGACAATTATTGTTCTTCCATTTTTAATCTTTTTTTTATAGAAAATAAAGTAATATTGATAAAGTAATAAAGTAATCTTTTCCATTTTTATCGAATCAATCTGTTTTTTTCTTCAGGTATTATTTTGCAGCTTAACAGACGAGCAAAAGAAATTATATAAAAAATATTTATGCTCCGATGATGTTTCTTTTGTTTTACACGAGAGAAATTATTGTGATAGCGGAAGATACAGGGCGAGGTTTCTCATTGCTTTATCAGCATTGAGAAAAATATGTAATCATCCGGATCTATTTTTGTACAACATAGAACAAGTAAGACATAACTAATATAATAACACTTTATTTATAAAATTATAAATCTTGTTTTTTTTTTAAGGATTCCGATGAAGATATTGATTTGTCCGACGAACAAATAGAGAAATTCGGATATTATAAACGTGCTGGAAAAATGACAGTGGTTCGATCTCTTCTGAAAATCTGGCAAAAACAAGGTCATAGAGTGCTACTTTTTACTCAGGGAAGACAGGTAAATATGATTCTTTTTTGAACATATAGAATATGTGTTCAAAAAAGGATCATATTTAAAAAATTTTATGTTTAAATAAATTTTTTATATTTGTCCAAAAAAATATCAATATTATGGAATACTTTTAAGAGATATTTATAAAATATTATAAATATTACACATATTTTAAATTTTTTTTACAAAAATACTAGTTTTGTGTTTTTCAATTTAAATTACTTATTAGAGTTATTATATAATATTAGACATGTTATTATATAATTGATCAGTCAAATAAATTATTTTCCATATTTATTTTTCTTTGTATACAGATGATGCACATTTTGGAGTCTCTTTTGCAACGTGAAAAGTATACCTATTTGAGAATGGATGGAACAACAGCAATGTCTCAACGGCAGCAAACGATTCAAAAATTTAACAATGTACATGTTAATTATTTGAAAAATTTATGGCAAGAATAATCTCCTCGAAAAATTAATTCTTTCTTTCCATAGAACTCGTCATATTTTGTCTTCTTGCTGACAACGCGCGTAGGAGGCCTGGGAATAAACCTGACCGGTGCAAATCGAGTAGTTATTTACGATCCCGATTGGAATCCAGCTACAGACGCTCAAGCAAGAGAACGCGCGTGGAGAATAGGCCAGAATAAGCAAGTCACTGTCTATAGATTAATTACTGCTGGCACGATTGAGGAAAAAGTTGGTAACAAAGACTATCGAGTTCCATCAATTTTAATGATAAAAAAGATATATGAATAATGATACGTTTGTTTTTAATAAAATAGTTTAATAACATTTTTTAGTAAGGAAACTTGCTTCTGTCTTTTCAGATATACCACAGACAGATTTTCAAGTTACTTCTTTCGAATAAGGTTCTTGATGAGCCACGCCAACATCAACTATTTAAACCAACAGATCTGGTGGAGTTATTTAATCTAAATGAGCCGATAGCCGGCGAGTTTTCCGAATCGGATCGCTTATTTAGAGAATCTAAATTGACACCCAGTGGCTTTTCTCTCAGTAAGATCGAGCAAATGAAAAAATTAGCGTCGATTCTTAGTAAGAAAATAAGCGCTAGTGTAAAATCAATGCACGATGAAAATGAAGATGCAAATAATAGTACTTGTAAAGAAAAATGTGATGAACAAAATGATAATTCAAGACGCATCGATGCTCTTGCCACAAAAAATGATATGCTTGTGGACCAATACTTATCTTCCGATCAAAATAATACACAAAAGTCTTCGAGCAAATGTGAAGATTTCGATATGAATTCTGATGCAAATATTGAAAGAAATAGTAATATAGAAAATGAAAATACATTTGAGGACAATTGTGAACAGAATGTAATTACAGTGAGTTCTCTAGATAATAGTTCAGTGAAAAAGAAGAATAAAATTGTTTTAAGTGATGATAAACTCACGTCATCATCTACTCGTAAACGAAAAAAACACAAAAAAAAATCGAACAGTACAAATGTTTCTGCGATGTTTGAGGGAGAACGTGTTTCTTATTTAATCGGTCGTCGTTTGGGACGTTCTATTGAAAGAAAAGAATCAGTTTCAATCACAGATGATGACTATGTGTTAAGGAAGCTATTCGCCAAATCAAGTAAATCGATACATATTTCACATTTAACAAAATATTTAATTTTTATATCTTTAACTTATACAATATTTAATTCGATATATTTATATATATCCAAATATTAATTACTTATAAAAGGCTAAACACAGTACCTACACATTTTTATTCATCTTTCTAATATTATGAAAAATATCTATATTCTTATGTAAAACTATTTCAGCTGTTAGTTCAGCCTTCCAACATGAAGCAGTATTATCAAATGCGCATCATAACAGCGATAATGAAAACACAATGCAACGTTTTGCACGTGAATCTGCGCAAGAAAGCATGGCTTTCATTCATCAATCAGGGAAACATTGTTGGAGACCAGCATAGGATAACCTATAGTTTGTGATAACATTGTATGTTTATTTTTTCTATAAATTTTTTATAAGATCTCACACGCGCGCACGCGCGTATATATGAGTACACCATTTTGCACCTCAAATGAAAGATGAGAGTTGTAAGAAAATCATTACTATACAGTTCAAAAAATAAAATTTATTATTAATCTTTTTTTTATTTTTCTTTAACTTACCTCGCATACATTTATCATGTAATATAATAGAATTCAACATTTCGATAGCAAAGAATTTTGTAAACAAATTATTTTTTACAGCGTTATAAATACATTTCATATATGTATAAACGCATATTATATAGAAATATAAATTATGATATAATTATTATATAATTATTATATAATT